TTCCTGCTGCCTTGTACACACTAGTGCTACGCACAGGGGAGCACCCAGCTCTACCTCCATGCCCAGCAGCTTCCAACCCCCCCGAGCTTGGAGCCAGCTGCTGCCCGGCCCGGGAGATGAGGCTTCTGCTGCTAAGTCTAAGAGCAGGGCGCTGGGTCCAGCTGCACCTCTAGTGCCCATTGCAGCCAGGCTGCGATGCAGGCTCCCAGGACCGCCTCAGTAAGGAGCCAAGGGTGCAGAGCAGAGGGAAGCGCTACAAGGGAGACACACAGCTACGTGAACCATGGTGCCCAGTGGGTAGTGTGCAATGGCCATGTCCAGGTGTGGTTCCCCAGGGCTCTGTCCTGGCCCCAGGCCTGTTTAATATCTCCACTAATGATCTGGATGATAGGCACAAGTGCAATGCATGGGTGGCACTGGCATTGAAGACTCTGGCAGGCAGGGCTGGGAACCAGTGACCTGAACAGACTGGGGGAAGTGTCCACCCATTAGATGGGATTCAGGGGAATGTTAGTTGAAAGCTAAGGCAAGGCTGTTCTTGTCCCCCAGGGTGGCATTGAATTGTGGGGCTCATGACCACCAGACGCGGTGGGAGGTGAGTTCAGCCAGATTCACAAGGGCCCCCAGCACCTGCAACCACACACAGCCCCTGCAGGCTCCCCCTGGGGGCACTAACTCACCGGGCTCTGATCCTGCCCCTGCTGCTGTGCACCCAACACCCATTTCATCTGGGTGGGGAAACCCAGACCCTGCTGGTGTTAACCCAGGGGCACCCAGCAGGGCTCAGGGTGCAGTCAGATGAGGGCAGGGCCCCTCGGCTGTGCCCTGCCACCCCCAGGGGCCTTGCCCACACACACATGGCTCCTACTAGCCACCCAGGGCAGAGGGCACTGGCGATGAGCCTGCAGCTGCCCAGCAGGACGGACACACAGGAGCACTGGGCTCTGGCTGCTCTGCTGCTGCCAGGACCAAAGTAAGCCTCTCCCAGGTCAAGCACGACTGCTCCCTGACAGCCACCTGCTCTCAGCCTGCGGCGCCTGCACGAGGCAGGGATGCTCTGCTGCTCTCTGGCAAGCTGGGCTCGAGGAGATGTGGGTGCGGGAGCAGGAGGCCCAAGCGTGGCAGCAGCCATGAGGGCAGCCACATGCACCAGAGCTTCTGCACAGCCCCAGAGGCTCCTCCAGCGCCCTGCCCACGTGGCTTGAGGGGCGGCAGCTCTGCCCTCACCGACCCGAGGATGACAATGACAAGACAGAGCACAGCAATGTTGAAAAGCACTAAACAAGCATGACGGGCCCCAGGCCCATGCTACACTAGGTACACGGCCGGTGCGCTGGCCAGGGCACTGCAGCAGCAGGGAAGCTTTATGCACCTGCCCTCTGTGCTCTACTTCCTGCCCCGGCGGTGGGCGGCTTTGGGCATAGCTGCTCGAGGGGTGGCTGCTCGGGGGGTAGGCAGGGGCTTCTCCTCCTCCTTGATGCTCTTGCTCTCCTCAGTGCTTGGGGGGTGGCCCCTCAGGCTCCTCCGCAGGCCCCTCTCAGCCCTGGTGCTGGGCGACTTCTCAGTGCTGGGCGGCTTCTCAGCCCCAGCGCTGGGCGGCTTCTCGGCCCTAGGTGGCTTCTTGGTGCCGTGCGGCTTCTTGGCCCCGGGCAGCTTCTCGGCCCCAGCACCGGGAGGTGTGTCGGCCTCTGGTGGTGTCTCGGCCCTAGCACCGGGCGGCTTCTTGGCAGATGTGGGTCCGTGCCTCTTCTTCCGGCCCCGGGCCGACAGACGCTTCTTCCGCGGCTCCTCCCCTCCCCGCTGGGTTTTCATCAGCTTCTCAAAGCTTTTGGTGGTCTTCATGTCCATGTCAAACCAGTCCTGGGGGCACAGGAGGGAGAGAGGGGTTAGTATCAACTGGGGAGACTGATCGCAACTGCCTCCCTTCTCCACCCGTAGACAGTTTGCACCGGCTGCAGAGCGGGTGGCATGTGCCTGGTGGGGTTTGCAATGGGCTGGCGAAGGCTGCTGGGCACAGAAGGGATTGAGGACGCTGCAGCACGGGGCCTGTAGCGCTGGCTCGGGGTGGGGAGGAGTAGGAGCAGGACAGGATGTGGCACCCACTCCCCAACACTTGCTCACCTCACTGTGCTGGACATTGATGTGGTACTTGACCCCGCTCTCCGAGATGAACTCCTTGTCGCACAAGAGACACTTGTATTTCCCAGCCACAAAGTCTCCCTGGCACCAGAACATAGGACAGGTTACAACTGGCCCCCTCTCCACCCAGGGAGAGGGCTGACTGGCCTGGCCCTTGCCCCCACCCCAAGGCCATGTGCAATCCCACCACGAGGAGACCCCAAGGGCTCTGCTCAGCCTAGGAGCACGTACGCTCTGGCCACAGACATGGACACAGCTGGCAGGGAGGGAGGGCAGGAGAGGAGAGGGGAGGGGAGAACCCACTCTGTTTCTGCCCAGTCTCAGCTATTGCTGCAAATGAGCTGTGTCCCCCTCTGCAGAGCCTGCTGGGGAAGGCCCACTGGCACCACCAGGCTGCAAGTAGAGCTGTGACAGATGCATGCAAGGGAAATGACACCTGCCTGCATCCCAGACCCCCAGCACAAGAGGAGGTGCCCAGCAGAGATTGGGCAGGCTGGGAGCACAGGGGTGGCACCAGGGAGGGGGCTGCACACAGCAGACTGACTCCAGAAGGGTACAAACCAGGGTGCAGGTGGTGAGGTGAACCTTGAGCCCCGCAACGGTGCCATACACCGACTCGCAGCCCTGCGGTGGGAAAAGACAATAGCTATCAGCAGCGCATGGCACAGGCCAGGCAGACGTCCAGCTTAGCATGCCCAGATGAGCCCTCCCCTCTGCCGGAGCATGGAGCTGTGGCAGGGAGCAGCCCACACGGGAGCACATGCCCTGGTTCAAAGCAACTGAAAGCCATGAGTTGCCTGGTGAGCAGAGAAACACTCGCTCTCAGCCAGAAGCCTGAGCTTCTCCAGGTCTGCAGGGCAATCCCATGATCCCAGCCTCTGGGGCACCAGTGCCTTTGGGGACGCAGCAGCCTGCTCCCACTCAAGACCCTGTGCAGGCCAAGCAGCAGGGACCCAAAGGGCAATGGAGCCATGCGCTGTCAGCCTGGCAGTGGCTCCGCCTGCCTTGCCCTCCCACCTGCTCTCAAACACGCAGTCTCCAGGATACTGGTGTGAGGGGCTGAAGCAGCAAAGGGAAGCAGAGACACCTACCCCCTGCACAGTCCTGGCAAGCCCCTAGCCACAACCATGCGATGAATGGCTGATTTCCTGTGTGGAATTGGCTTAGATACCATCACCCACCACAGCTGGGCTGCGACTGACCTCATGCAGGCCTGGATCCACCCCTGGGGAGCTCTGGCTGCAGCTCCACTGCCTTCTCCCCACCCTTCCTGAGTCTGGCTCTGGACTTGACCCAACTGTCTCACAGCTCCCTGCAAGGGGTAGACCCCTGCAACTGCCTCATGCCTGCTTGTACGTGGGTGCTGGAGTCTGCACTCAGTGCCTGCAGAAAGACCCCCAGCTCAAGGCCACAATAACACTGCCTTGGGGTCAGAAAAGATTTCCCGCCCTGCTCAGAGTGGTCTGGACTTGGGTGGGGGTTGCCCTCCTCTGCAGCAGGGGCTCAGCCTCAGCCTGGCCTCTCTGGAGCCTTTATTAACCCCCTTTGCAGTAGCAGGACGTTGGTGGCCATGACCCCCCTGCTTTCTTGGGTGCAGGGGTGGAGGTGATGCCTGGAATGACTGTGTTGTGTGGCTCCGAGGTCGGACACAGGGTTTGTCTGGGCTGGTTTGGACAGGGCTGACCTTGCCTCAGGCAGGGGTTGGACTAGATGCGACCTCTGGAGCTCCCTGCCGGCCCCATGGCTCTCCAATTCCCTCCCCCCACGACAGCACAGGGGTGCAAGCTGCCACCTGCTTTCACATGCAGCAGTGGGCTCCACTGCTGCTGAAGTTCAGGCGTGTCCCTGTGGGTGCCACTGGAAGGGGGCTGCGTACCTTATTGGGACAATGGACCCTTCTGTGCACCTTGATGTCCGACTTCCACTTGCCCAGCATGTCCTGACTGAAGGTAGGCAGTCCCGGGCGGGTGTACTTCAGCTGGGGGCAGAGAGGGGCAGGCTCTGAGGCTGGAGGGCTAAAATGGTGATGTGCGTACTGGTGGCAGGACATCAGGACTGCCTCCACGTCCCCTGGCTGGACTAGCCCCCCTCCCCCAGCCAGCCCTGCAAGATGATGCCCCACCTCCATCCCAGAAACCAACCCTCCCTCCAGGCCCAGACAACAGCTCCCCGTTCCCCACCCAGGAAAGCACCTTCTCTCTCGCTGCAGAGAGGAGGATGTGGACCAATGGCTTCAAGTTGCAGCTAAGTAAGTTTTGATTGGAGATCAGGGAAAACTACTTCCATCAGAGCAGGGTGGCCATGGGAGATGCCAGAGAAGTGGGGGACTCTCCATCACTGGAGATGTCAAGGCAAGGCTGGATGGGCACTGGGCAGGGAGGATGTAGGCGCAGTGATGCCTGTGCTCTGCTGTGGGGATTTCCCAGGCTTCTGGCCTGTGCTGGTCGCCTCCCCTTCCGCCCCCCACCCCATACTCTTTCTGCTCCATATGTCAGGGGTTTTAAGTTTCCCCCAGAGGTGCTGGCTGCAGCCCAGCTGGGGATGGGGACTGGGCTATGCCAATGCTCCTGCTGGGACCCACCCTGCAGGGAAGAGATTTCCCCCCTGTTCAGACTGGTCCAGACTAGGGGGTTCTGCCTTCCTCTGCAGCAGGGGCATGGCCTCACCCTGGGCTCTCTGGAGTGTCTATTAACCCCCTTTGCAGCAGCAGGACATTGTTGGTCGCAACTCCCCTGCTTTCCCAGGGACGGGGATGATGCCTGGGGCTGTGTCAGGGGCGGCTGTCATATGGCTCTGAGGTTGGACACAAAGTTTGTCTAGACTGGTTTGGACAGGGCTCATCCTGCCTTGAGCAGGGCTTGGACTGGATGTGACCCCGCAGCTTCCTGCCAGCCCCACAGCTCTAAGACTCTAGGATTGAGTCCACGCCCACAGCACAGCAGGGCCCAGCCCCTCCTGCTCCCCACAGATCAAAGCTTGCTCCCAGTTTCTGCCTGCAGCCATCCCACTATGCCCAACCCTTGCCCACTATAGGGAGCCCAGAGACCCCGTGGGGCCCAGGGCTTGGTGCACGCGACAGCCCCCACCCCACGTGGTGCGACCTGTCCCGAGCGCTGGTACCTTCCGATCGTCGGGGATCAGGTCCTCCCGCACCTTCCTCTTGGGCCACTCCTTGGCCAGCTCTGTGCTGGCCAGCTCATGCAGGTAGTAGATGGCCATCTTGGCTGACTTCCTCTGGACCCTGCGGGCCTTGCTGGACTCCAGATTCATTTCCTTCAGCCTCTCTGGTCTCTCCTCCTCGCACTGGAGCTGTGACCTCCTTGTCTGCTCTTCCTGAATGCCCAGAACAGACTGTTAGTTGCCTGACCCCAGCTCTCTCCTCCCCAGCCCTGCATGACCCTGCCACACCTGCACTGCCACCGCCTTTGGGGAACACCCCAGGCCACTGACACTGGGTCTTCTGGGTCACCCCAGGACACTTCCTGCCCTGGCCTAGCACTGGGTCTTATGAACCCAAAGGAAGCAGAGGAAGGGAAGCTCAGAGGGGGAGGCATGCATGTTACTGCCCAATGCCATGGAGCAAAACAAGCACAGGGCCAGGGCCTGCTGCCTGACCTGCCAGAAGCCAAATAGGCAGCTCCAGTCTGCACCGTCTCAGAGCGAGTTGTGCACCCTTCCTAGAACCAACCCCGCAGAGTCCTTGTTGGAGGGTCTTGCCCCTGCACTCAGGCTCAGCCCAAATCTGCACTGGGGGCAGGAAGGGATTTCCCCCCTGCTCAGAAAGCAAGGGGGGGGGGGGCAGGGAGTTGCCTTCCTTCGTAGTGGGAGCATGGCCTCTGCCTGGGGTTTCTGGAGAGCCCATGACCTCCCCCCTCCCCCCGGCTGCAGCAGGACCTTGGCAGCCACGGCCCCCTGCTCTGCCTGGGGCTGTGTCAGGGGCAACTATATCATGTTGCTCCGAGGTCAGACACAGTTTGTCTGGGATGGTTTGGACAGGGCTGATCCTACCTTAGGCAGGGACCTTTGGGGGTTTCTTCCAGCCCCAATCAAAGGGGCTGCAAAAGGCATTGGACCAGAGTCAGGAGACCAGGGCTTGTTAGCCCCTCCACACCAGCACGCAGAGAACACTGTCCTATGGGGGTACAGTGACCAGGTGCCTGCCATAGACAAGCCATGAAGTGGTCTGGAGAGAGGGCTGGGGGGGCATGTGGCATCCAGCTTGTGCTTACCGTCCCATGCTCAGATCGGAGGTGGTAGGCAAGCCCTGCCTTGGACTTGTAGGCCTTGCTGCAGTGATGGCACTTCAGGGTCATCTTCTCCAGCTCAGCAGCAGCCTTCCCGCACTTCTGGATGTGGTACAGGTAGCCCATGATGCTGGTGAAGCTGCCCGTGCAGCCCTGCCACAAAAGTGGGGAGCATGGGACCAGCTCCAACATACACAGCCTCCCTTTGGGGCTGGAGTAGCCACTGCTCTCCCTCCCCACAAAGCAAGCAGCATGCGCCCTAAGGCAGGAGGTGGCATCAGCCCTGCTCCTTGCTCTTGTTTGCTGCAGACACCATGTGGCTAAAACCATGGAGATTCGCAGCCACCTCAGCTGTGGGGAACGTGATGGGCTCAGAAGGGCTGGAAGCCCCACACGGACAGTGATGGCAGAACTACCTTGAGAGGGCAAGCGCATCCCACCCCACTGCCACAGGGGCATCCTTCGCTGCGCCCTGCGTTCAACTGCCCCACAGGCCATAGCCAAAGCTTCTCAGGCGCCTGCCTGGGATCCCCCATGTTTGGGGGAGGGTCTGGCTTTGAACCAGATGCAGGCCTTAAAATGTGAAGGGACAGAAGCAAATGAGCCAGGGGCCCAGACCCCGCTGCACTTCCCAAGACTCTCAGGCTATAAGCAGGGCTGGATGCAGGGTTTCCCAAAGGGAGTGGAGGAGCAGCAACTGCCATGGCAGGGGGGCTACATCCCCTGCTCCCAGTCTCCTCTGCTGCCCCTCCCTCCCCCCTAGCGTGGGCAGATGACTCTCTGGAGCCTCCAGGCACTTCTTTAAGTCCTTAAGCAGGTGAAAATGCTGCCCCCCATCCTTCTGTTCTTCTCCTCCCTCAACCACCTGTTGCCCAGTGTCCCAGGGGCAGGGCAAGCACCAGGACAGACAAGAACAGCGCAGGTGCAACAATGGCAGGCAGGTGTGTGTGTGGGGTGATTTTCCCCTCCTTCAAGGGCTTAAAAAAAGTCCCCCAAAGCTCCCCTGAGGGCCTCTGACAGGACCCACCCCACTGGGGGCTGATGGAAGCAGGGTGTGTGCCAATCAGACGCCTGCACGTGGGGACATGCATGTTCACAGACACTGGGCATTGAGGACAGGGCTGTGCTGCTCAGCTTTGCAAACCCTTCTGTGCTATGTGAAGAGCTTGGGTAGGCACCAAGATGGCCCTGGCAGCCCTGACACAGCCCGTGGACTGTGGTCCACACGCTTGGAGCTGTTCTGTTCCTGCTCAAGTGCTTGCTTTCACTTCCTGGTGTCTGAGCTTGTCCATATCCACTCTTCCTACCACCGCCAATCCTGTCCAGCTCCCGACTCACCTTGGGAGTGTCTGGAGCCCTTCAAGTGTCCCCTTGCCTGAAACCTGTGGCCAGGACAGTGGTGGAGTCCTTGGCCAGCTGTCAGGACCTCTGATTAATCTAGTCCTGGCTAATGCAATGCCCCAGGATGAGGCACGCCTTCACGCAGCTTCAGTCTGCTCCAGCAGCCTCCTCCAAGGCTCTGTTTCTCCTGACTCGGTTTTGGCTCCTCCTGCCCGAGCTTGGATCTCCCCTGGAACTCGGCACCAGCTCCCTAACCCCTGGCTTCTGATCTGGGTTCACTTTTGGGATTATGTCTCCTGGATTTCCCTTCTCAGCTCTCCTGGAACATGATCCCAGCTTTTCCAGCCCCTCTGACCCCGACCTGACTCTGGTTACCTGCATTTCTGCCTTCTTGACCTTTGTGCTGCTCCTAGTGGCCTACTGCAGGCCTGGCTGCCTACGCCTCAGCTGTACCCTCACAGCTGCAGAGGACAGATCCGTGAGGGCTGCGCGAGGCGCCAGCTCACCTCCCTCGTGCACTTGAGCTTGCCCATGCGCTTCAGCACCTTCCGCAGCTGGTCTCGCTCGTGCTGCTCATCTGACTCACTCCCCTCCTTCGCAGCTGGCTGGAAGCAAAGCAAAGGGAGGGAGGGACAGCGAGTGCTGGCTTAGGTGTGGGGCGGCTTCATGCCAGGGAATCCTCTCATCCTCCAGTGCCACCATCCCCAGGAGGGTTCCTCTGGCCATGCAGGAAGTCTCCCAAAAGCACTGGACAACTCCAAGGGGAGGGAACCGCCCTGCACTTCATGGCCAAGGACCTTAAGCACTAGCCCAAGGTTCACACCCTCCAGAACCAAACACTGGCAAGCTACCAGGCGCTGAAGAGACTCCTTTAAGTGCTGCCCCTGGACTCTGTTTGGGGGCTCTAGCTCTTGGGGAGCTCCCCAGGAGCTGCTCAGCCCATCTCCTGGAGAGGCCCAGCTGCTCCCACCCTTCCCGCAAGGGGTAGAGCAGACTCCATTCCTGGCATGCCTGCAAACCCCCTCCCTCCTCCTCTTGTGCCCCAAGTCCCCCCTCGTTCATGGATAGCTAGTGCTGTCTCAGCTGCTGGTCACACTCAGGCATCGGAATGACTCAGACACCATTCCTCTGAGCACGCTGCCAACCACAGGGCTCCACATTGGCCGAGCAATAGACAGTCTTATTGGCAAAGCTCAGCAGCAGAAGCACAGGATCTGCCTGCCAGCTCTGATGTTCCTGCTTGTTCTAGAAGGGAATGCAAAGATCCTGGGTGAGGGGGGAGATTTGTCCAGCCAAGGGGCTCTTTCCCACGCTCACAAGCAAACTCTGCCCAAGTTCCCACAAGGTGGAAAACACTTTAGGGACCACAATTAGGGTTCAACATATTGTTACATACTGGAGACATGAGCAGATGCCCGGACAAAATTCAGCTGAGACAAAGATCAAGTGCTGCCCTCATGGGAGAAAGACCCAATGCAAACGTGCAGACTGGGAGATAAACTGCTGGGTCCAGCCTGTCCGCCTCACATGTGGCACGGGTCACCAGGGCATTGGCCTGCAAGCCCCGGTGCCAAGGTAAAGGGGTGCAGGAGTTAGGACAGCAGCTGGGGAGGGGACAGGGCTCAATGGTTTGTCTTCAAGAGAGCTGCTGCTACCAGTGGTGATGGGATTTGGATGCAGCCATCTCATGCTATGGACGCAACACGGGCAAGCCCGCCACAAAGCCTGGCCAGAGCTGGATTAGGCAGCCACGTGGCACAAAGGACCTGGGATCACAGACTCCGAGTCAGCAACATGGGACAGTCGCTAAAAAACAGTTTAGAGCTGCACTGATGGGGTCAGCATATGAGCCGGGAGGTGGCAGCACTGCTCTTCTGGGCACTAGCTGGCCCTCACCTAGAGTGCAGCAGACAGCTCTGGGCTCTCTGTTTAAACAGGATGATACACGGGACGCAGAGAAAAAACAAAGGCAAGCAACTGAAGTGATTAGAGGTTGGAAGGCAGTCACACGAGAGGCCAAGAGAAGTGGGTGTGCTTCGTCTGGAGGAAAGGAGATTAAGGGAGGGATGGGAGGAGGAGATGTGAGAGCAGCTTTCACATAGTTGAAAGGCTGCCAGAAAGAAGAGGAAGAACAACTGTTCTCCCGCATCGCAGAGGGCAGGACCCTTGGCACTGGGGCTTTGCTGCAGTTCAAAGGTAGACTAAACAGCACAGAAAACTTCCTCGCAGCAACAGCTGCAGGACAGAGGAGCCAGCTGCCCAGGGAAGGTTTCCGATCAGAGACTGGATGGGCGCCTGGCTGGAAGAACACAGGAACAGCCTGCCCTGCAGCTGTGCAGTCAGGGAACAAGGTGACCAAAGAGGTTCCTTCCCACGGGGCTTGGTACAGGTTGGACTCTTCGCTTCCTGCCAGGGAAATGCTGGCTTCTTAGCCCAGCCAGGGAAGAACAGGTTGCAGGGGGAGCTGAAAGATACCTTCTGCTTGCTTATCACTTCCCAAATAACAGGCGCTCCTACAAGCTCTGCCCTACACTGGAAGGGACCGTGCTTGGTTCTGCCAGCTGCTCCAAACTCTGTGCAAAGCAGAGCTGAGCACCAGGCCCTTTCTTCCACCTGCCGACAGGCTTTCTGACTTGCGTCTTAACAAGCACATGCCAGCGTGTTCCAATGTGAACAGCAAACCCAGTCCCTCTCTCGGGCATCACTTGCTTAATACCTCTGAGCTTATAACACTACTACTTTTTCACGTGTTCAGTCTTCTGGGAAAAACTGAGTAGGCATGACCTGCACTTCTTAAAGGAGAGAACAAGTCTGAAAACCAAGGGCAATCCCAGTCTTTGTGCCATGCTGGTTTCTCTGGCCTGCAGGGACAGGTCTTTCGGGGTGCCCCACTGCTACGTTACCAGGTTGTTGTGATCCGCCATGACGTGGTATTTCATTCCTGCCGCCGACTTGAGCTGCTTCTCACAGTGATCACACGAGAACATTTCCTGCAAACAACCAAGAGCCGAGGATGTCAGCACCCATCCCAGCCCTGGGCACAGCCCGCTTCTCGGGGGCATGTCCTTCCACCTGCTTTCTCAAACCAGGACTGTGAAAGAACTCCATCTCAGCCTCCTCTTTTCCTGGTTGTTTTTTTCCCCTTTTCCTTTCTCTTTGTCCTTTCACCTGTCTGTCAACCTGGTTGCCCCGGATTACTGCACACATGCAGATACAAGGGAGGGAACTTGACCCCCTACGGTTTGAGCTCTGACCTCATGACCTGGGGGCAAGGGCTTGAGTCTTGGTCAAGGAGTGATGCTTTTCAAATTAGTTGGTTGGCATAAAATAACACCTGGCTTTGACTGGAGCTAGCAGGTGAGGTCGGGGGGAGTGCTATTTAAGAGACAGGCTCTCGAGGAAGAGTAGACAGCCATGTTGGGACTTTTACACAGCAAATTGAACCTCTGCAATCCTCACCCATTTCTGGCATGCTGAAGTAAGTAAATTACCAGAAACTTAACTAGAAAGGTAGCTTACAGTAATTTAGAAGCATTTTAAAAGGCTATCAGGCCAGTTCTGTTTGCTTTGGGTATTCTTTTGATACTTCTCTGACTCCTATCCTTCCCCAAGCCTACCCTCTCTACCCAATAAAGCTATCCGCTATAACAAGCTTTGTGGTACATGTTTGAGAGCGAATAGACACCTTTGTATCCCCTTGGCTCGGCTGACTAAGGGAGGCTACTTTCTGTGCTTCAGGTTAAAGGAAGCACTCCAAGATCACACAGGGGGTCAAGCATCCTTCAGGTCTACAAGGCCTGTGCACCCCAGGGGGCACAGGGCCCGGGCAAGAACCAGACCCCAGGCGGTGGAAGCAGTTATCCCAGGCTTGCAGGTGTGCCCTAGGAAGGGGGCTGGCCAATTGAAGGTGCCCCAGGGGAGACACTCGGAGCTTGGTAGGTGGGTGAGCGCAAGGAAGTGGATGGCTCAGCGCTGAAGCATTCCCAGCTGGCTCACCACACACAGTGTTAGAGGTGGGATTCTACAGCCTGTTGTCTGGAAGGCATAAATTTGGGGAAAGAAAGTAGAGTCACAGAAAACCCTTGAGCAAACAAATCTTTAATTTGGCATTAGGTCAACTGGATAGAGTAGCTAGTTAGGAGGGCAGACAATTATGACACCCTGTCCATGGACGAACTAGTGAAGAAACTGGAGGAGAAAAACCTCCTCATACCACAGGGGCGAAAGAAAAAGGACCTGATTAAAGTCCTGTGGGACTACGATCATGGCAAGAAATTTTCACCTAACGTTCTCCCAGCGAATGAGAACCCCACGGAGCTAGAAATGCTCCGAGAGTGGATTCAACTCCAGAAAAAGGAGCTAGCCGAGGAGGCCCAACGCAAGCTTGAGGAATGCAAGTTCACGCTTGAAGAACTAAAGCTTACGAATGAGCAACACAAGCTGGAGCTAGAAGGCAAAGAGGCCCAGTTCAAGCATGAAGAAAGGAAGGCACAGCGCAAGCACAAGAAGGAACAGTGCGAAGCAGAACAGCGTCAACGCGAGCACAAGGCTAACAAGGCTCAGCTCAGGTGTAAGGCCAAACAGCACCAACAACAGCATGAGGCTGAGGCATGGCTCAAGCACGAGCGTGAGCTTCACCTATCCCAGAGGCGGCAAGATGAGGGAGCCCTGGCCAACCCACCCCATCCAATGCTGCCTGCACCCCCCAGAGTGAACACCCCGTTCTTCACCCAGTTCAAAGATGGAGACAATCCAGAGGTGTTTCTGAGTAATTCTGAAAAACAAGTGCGTTGATGGAACTTGGAAGGAGAGAACACGAGATGTATTGCTGGGCTGGTAACAGGCAACATAGCTGTTATCCTGAACAGCCTGGCCTCCCCTACTCCGAGTCAGTGAATGACTATGTCGCCTTTAAAGATGCTGCGTTTCAAAGGTATAGTTTGGGGACAGATTTTTTCCGGAAAAAGTTCCATAATAATACCCTATTGCTGGGACAATTGTTAAACGAGTTTGCAGCTCAGTTGGAGGATCTCTCTCAAATGGAAGAAGGGAGCCAAAGTTAACACAATGGAGGGGGTGGACGCGCTCGTGGTGCTGGATCTATTCTATTTCAGGTGCCCCAAAGAGATTAAACACCTAGTCAAGGGCCAGAACCCCCAAACCGCCAAGGCAGCTGCTGACATTGCTGAGCAGTTGTTGATAAAATGAGAGGTGCTGGACAGGCCTCCCCACTTTGGGAAGGAACAGAGAGGGTTCCGAAAAGGAGGGAGGGGAGGGCCAGTTCCAAAATGAGAGGGTGGGCCTCCCCCTGCAGAGTGGTCCCAGATTCAGTCAAGCCACCCAATTCAGAGAGGAAGGGTTGCTTCAGCTGTGGAGAGCCTGGCTACTTTAAGTCCAACTGCCCAAAGCAAAACCACACCAATAAGCCTGTCAACCAAGCACAAGCTGTAAGCAGTAAGGAAGGGGCCCCGAGCCACTCTGAGAAGCGTATCTGTTGCTACAGGATTACAAACCCAGAGGAGGTGATGGCCACCCATCAGACTGAGGTAATGGTAAATGGGAGAATCATCATTGGGGAACAGGACACAGGGGCCAGTGTGTCATTAATTAATGCCAACCTTGTTTTGCCCTTGGATATAGTCCAGGATAGAACCCTTACTATAGAAGGGGTGCAGCACCATCCATTTGAGGTACCAGTAGCCCATCTTCTCATTGAGCGGAGAGGCTGAGGGAAGTGCGTGGAGATAGAAATGTTGAGACAGGCTCCTGTCCCTATATTGGTGGGGAGAGATATTATAGCACTTGAGCATCTGAAAGGGGTGTGGAGAAGTTTCACAGAACCCCACCGCGTTAATGTGATGATTCGCCAACAGAGCAGGAAGGCAAAGGCGGGAGGTGGGGGAACCTCCCAAGTCCAGGTAACCCTGCTGGCTGCAGAGGCATGGGGGGCCTCTGGGTTGTGACCGTCTGCCAGCTGCTGAAGAAACTGGCGACCCCAGGGTTAAGTAATAGCCCTGAGGAAGAGCCCGATCAGTCTGTGACAGAGAGGGCAGAGACTCTTGGGGAGCAATTACAGAACATCCCCAAGGGGGAAGATGTACCACAGCACTGTCACTGGAACTCCCCGCTGATTGCCTAGCTGGGCAGGAGTTCAAGTGGGAGGTTCAAGGGGACTCCAGCTTGGAGAAACTCTGACAGATGGCCCAGTAGCAGGAGACTGAGTTCACCCCAGACAAGAGGGAACAGGTGGTCTGGGATAAGGGACTCCTGTATCAGTTAAGGCTCCTAGGACTCAGCATAGTTCCTAGGCACCCATATCTCCAGCTCGTACTACCACATAAGTTCAGGAAACAATTACTTTCTATGGCTCATGATTTACCTTTTGCTGGTCACATCGGGTTCTGCGTGAACTACAGGAAGCTGGATGCTATTACCACCCCCGACACTTATCCCATGCCCAGGATGGACTCTTTGCTTGATACTCTGGGCCAAAACAAGCTCATCTCTACCCCTGATCTCTCCAAAGGGTTCTGGCAGATGGCACTGGCCCAGGATGCCATACCCAAGCCTGCCTTTACCATGCTGTTAGGACTGAACGGGTTCACTATTTACCTTTCGGTATGTGCAATTCTCCCACTTCTTTTCAGAGACTGATTAATAACTGCTACACGGATGTGAGCAGTTTGCAGTGGCTTACATTGACGACATCGCCATCTTCGGTCAAGACCTTGAATCACACCCGATTCATCTAACCACTGAGTTAGATAGGATCAAGCAGGCTGGACTTACTGTGAAGGCAAAGAAATGCCAACTGACACGCTCTGAAGTGGTATATTTGGGACACCATGTGGGTGGGGGCACGATCGCTTTTATATGGGACAAGATTGAGGCCATTAGAGACTGGCTGCCCCCACAAACTAAGAAGCAGGTCAGGGCCTTCCTTGTTCTGGCCAGATATTACAGAAGGTTTGTCCCTGGCTTTGGGGCAACCGCCACTCCCTTACATGAGCTGACAGAAAAGGACAACTCCGATCAAGTAGTCTGGATGCAGGAATGTCAACTGGCATTTGACACCTTAAAGGCTGCCCTGATCAAACAGCCAATTCTGAGGGCATCGGACTATGATAAGCCCTTCTGTGTAGCCACTGATGCCTTGGACACTGGACTTGGAGCTGTGCTCCTGCAGGAGCACAAAAGGACGTGATACCCTGTGGCTTACTTGAGCCGGAAGTTGATTCCCCGCGAATGGAACCTGTCATCTACACAGAAGTGTTTGGCAATCGTCCGGGCACTGAACAAACTGAAGCCCTATCTATGGGGACAGCAGTTCACAGTCCTATCAGACCATGTCCCACTCCAATGGCTACAAACAAAGCAAAACACCAATGCCAAGCTACAAAGATGGGCCTGGCAGCTTCAGGAGTTCAACTTCACTGTCGAACACATCAAGGGAAGCCAGAAGGTAGTAGAGGATTCTCTGTCACAAAAAGATTCTGGGTAACAGGTCAGAGAGAGACAGGCCTATCCTAGAGCACCTTGGTGCTTGGACGTCTCAACTTTTTCAGATGCTTTATGTGTATGGTTGTAATAGCCAGTGTGTTGTTATGTGTTTTCTCTTTGGGTATTGAAGTGAACCTTTCCAGACAAAACACGCCCATACCCACAGCTGTGTAAAGCTATGGGCCCGGGCTTTTGAAGGAACGGGGGGGGAGGTGTGAAAGAACTCCATGCCAGCCTCCTCTTTTTCTGGGTTTTTTTCCCCCTTTTTCCTTTCTCTTTGTCCTCTCACCCGTCTGTCAATCTGGTTGCCCTGGGTTACTGCGTATATGCAGGTACAAGGGAGGGAACTTGATTCCCTATGGTTTGAGTTCTGACCTCATGACCTGGGGGCAGAGGCATGAGTCTTGGTCAAGGAGCGATGCTTTTCAAATTGGTTGGTCAGCATAAAACAACCACGGGACTTGATGGGAGCTAGCAGGTGAGATCAGGGGGAGTGCTATTTAAGAGAGAGAGGATCTCGAGGAGTAGAGAGACACATTGGGACTTTTACACAGCAAACCGAACCTCTGCAATCCTCACTCACTTCTGGCACGCTGAAGTGAGTAAATTACCAGAAACGGGTAATTTTGCTTTGGGTATTCTGTTTGCTCTGGGTATTCTTTTGATACTTCTCTGACTCCTACCCCTCCCCAAGCCTACCCTCTCTACCCAATAACATTATCTGCTATAACAAGCTTTGTGATATGTTTGAGAGGGAATGGGCAAGCCTTCGTATCCCCTTGGCTCGGCTGACTAAGGAAGGCTACTTTCTGTACTTCAGGTTAAAGGAAGCACGCCAAGATCTTGCAGGGGTCAAGCGCCCTCCAGGTCTACAAGGCCTGTGCACTACAGGGGGCACAGGGCCTGGGTAATGACCACACCCCAGGCGGTGTTGGTGGTTACTCCAGGCTTGCAGGTGTACCCCAGGAAGGGGGTCAGCCAGTCGCAGGCGCCACAGGGGAGACTCTCGGAGCTTGGTATGTGGTTGGGCGCAGTAAGGTGGGTGGCTCAGCACAGAAAAGCCCCCTACTGGCTCGCCACAAGGACCCCCCCCAGTGAAGAGACCTCACTCCCAGCGATGCAACACGAACAGAGCACAGTACCAGGAAGGCTCCGGCTCATGAACCCCCTCCTCCTACAGATAATGCAGCTACGAATCTGGGGAAAAAAAGAATGGAGAACGATGCTGGTCTCCCTCTCACCTGGCTGCAATTTGTCATGTGCTTCTTCAGCCCCTCCACAGTCTTCCTCACCACGACTTTGCAGGTTGGGCAGGTGATGCGGCCCTTATCGAGGATCTCCAGGTGCCACTGGTCCTCCCTGCTTCCTGCTGGGGCACAGAATTACAGACAGCCAATGCTGTCGCTTCAGGCTGCGGAACGAGCCCAGGCAGAGACTTCTGTCCCCGAGGCTGCACCTGGCTGGCGGGGCTTTTCCACTTGTTTGCCTTGTCAGTTCTCTCTCTCTCTCTCTCTCTCTTTCCGGGGCTGTTCTTACACTTGTTAAAGGTGCAGCCATGCTACTGCAGGGCCCACTCCCCATCCTACTGACTGCATCTTTGGGGTTTCACTGAGTAAACCAGGAGCTGCTCTAGCAGCCTGCATGCCCCACAAGCAGAGAACCCCCCCAGGGCCCATTGAAGAAGCAGAAATCTCAGCTGCAGAGAGGTCAAGAGCCTGAGGTGGGTTCAGAGAACAAAAGCACCTCAGCAGGTGAAGTGTCTCTGGCTGCAGCCTGTCCGAAAGGTGTAATGAACGGGCAGGAGCTCTAGCAGAGCTGTTTCCGAGGAACCCTTCATTAAGCCAGAGGCCCTTTGGAGAGGGGCTGGGAGACAAATATCCACCGCATGCCTGGCATTTGCACTGGTGCTCCACTGCTCATACCAAGGCTGACTGCTACATGTCCCCCCATCCTATGGGGCTGGCATTCCTCTGGGGATAGGGAAAGGAGGGGCTGTTTGACCCTGTACCAGGCTGTGGGAAGAGGCGAACTGGCCTACACAGCAGAATGGTTTCTGACTGACTTCCGGACTGAACCTAGCTGGGTGGATTTCACACACCCAAGGGACAACTCCCTCCTGGGACACCATCACAGGCACAGGAGCAGTGCCAAGTTGTTCCTTCTGGTCCTCTGCATGCTAGAAAGGGGATGGTGACAAGAGAAAGCAGTGCAGCCACCACAGTACTAGCAAGCACTATGAGGTCAGCGTGCGGTGCCAAGCTCCCAGAGACACAAGCTTCCCTCTCTGTCCAACAAAGGGAACAAAGGTCTTTAAGAAGCGGCTCAATGCCTACCTGGCTGGGGTCACTTGAGCCCAGTTTCCCTCCTGCCCAGGCAGGGGGTCGGACTTGAAGATCTACAAGGTCCCTTCCGACCCGACTTCTATGATTCTATGAACAAGGGCATCAACGGGGGAATTTGTGGCTCCTTCTCACCCCAGGGGCTGTCTGTAAGTTGCTCTGACCTCTCTGGATAACAGCAGCAACAATGGAAATGCTGAGGGGGCTTCCTGGTATCCAGGAGCAAGTCCAGAGAACTGCCATCACCTCTTACCTGCCGCAAACGCCCCATGCAGCTGTTGCACCACCTTACCTGCCTCGTAGCTCGGGGGATCTTTCTGTACATAGCGCCCTTTCGCTTTTGGAGTCTGCTGTGCCCGAGCTCGATGCTTCTTCCTGGCTACAAGGGAAACAAGAAAAGCTGTGAGATTGGACTCTGCAGGCCTCCAGGCACAGGAAGCCAAGCTCAAAGCAAGGGTTGCTCTCAAAGGGGAAGGACCACAAGGACCACCTTCTCTATTGGGAGGACGGAAGGTTATTCAGAGCTCTAAAACAGTCACCCACTAGCTCAGCACCCTGCACCATTTCTGATTAGCTGAGAACACAAATGGTCTAGAAAGCCCTGCTGCCCTGAAGGGCCTCTAGCACGTGACACAAGACACAGAGTGCAATGGCAGAGACCTTCCTCTGAATCTTCTGCTTTCAGTTCCTCCAGGTCAGAGCCAGGAAGACACAGGCAGCACAGCCCAAGACCACAGCCCCTGGGATGGAACATGCAATCTCTCAGGCACCTGGGTCTGAATCCACTCAGCCCTTCAGACCAGCACTCTGAACTGCTCCCAGCAGCAAGCAGGGAGCTGCCCCACAGCTCGGATGATCACAAAAGATTCCTTCACTCAAGAACTTATGCAACACCAGGAGAAACTGCCCTGGGCAGCCCCAAATAGACCACAATGCCGTAATTGTGGGCTTCAGAATCCTAGAGAAGTGGGGCCAGAAGGGACCCCCAGAAGTCACCTCCAGTACAACCCTTCCCTGAGGCAGGATCAGCCCTGTCCAAACCAGCCCAGACAAACCCTGCGGCTGACCTTGGAGCAACATGACAAAGTCACCCCGACACAGGCCCAGGCACCATCCCTGCCCCTGCAAAACAGGGGAGCTACAGCCACCAACATACTGCTGCTGCCAGGAGGGGCGTTCATGGATGCTCCAGAGACGCCAGCCAGAGGCTGTGCCCCTGCTACAGATGAATGCAAACCCCACCAGTCTGCACCAGTCTAAGCAGGGGGGAAATCCCTTCCTTCCCCCCGTGCAGTGTTGGTCTGAGCCTGAGTGCAGGGGAAAAATCCTCTAGCCCAGACCCTGCGGGGTTGGTCCCAGCAAGAGCATTGGCACAGCCCAGCCCCATCCCCAGCCTGGGCTGCAGACAGCACCCAGCGCCTCTGGGAGAGGCTTAAAAACACTCTGACATGTAGCAAAAAAAACCCCAAAAACAAAACAAAACAAACAACGCAGGGTGGGGAAGAATCAGAGAGGAACTGCTCTGGCAGTAACAGAATTCAATTTGTCCAGTTCAGAAAAGTGCCTGCACTGAACATGCAGGTACCTGGTATGCATCCACCAATGCATCTCAAGCAAAACCAGGGACGTCATCCTCCTACTTTACTTGTCCTTAGTAAAGCCGTAGCTGGAATACTGCATCCAGTTTTGGGCCCCTCACTTCAGGAGGGATGCGGATAAGCTTGAGAGTCCAAAGGAGAGCCACCCATATGATCAAGGGCCAAAAGAGTAAGCCTTAAAAGGAGAGGCTGAGGGACATGGAACTCTGCAGCCTGGCGAAGAGAAGGCTCAGGGGGACTTGGTGGCTGCCTATACGTATATAAGGGGGCATCAGGATCTGGGAGAACAGCTGCTCACCAGGGCTCCCCAACAGATTACTAGGTCTAATGGCCACAAACTTCTAGAAGGCCGATTCAGACTCGATATAAGGAAAAACTTCTTCACAGATCGAGTGTCCAAGGTCTGGAACAGACTCCGCCCAAGGTGGTGCAAGCACCTACTCTGGACTCATTCAAAAGGCGTTTGGATGTTTATCCTGCTTGCATCATTTGATACCTGCAGACTTCCTGCCTCTGGCAGGGGGGCTGGACTCAATCTCATGAGGTCGCTTCCAGCCCCTAATGTCCATGAAATCTTCAAGAGACGGGATTCCAAGCTGGGGCTGGATTCCAAGACTACAAAAACAAGCACCCCTTTCAGTGCAGAACCAGGGCAGAGCACAAGGAAAGCTCTGTCTTAGCTCCACGGACAGCCGGGACAAGGCCCTGAATGAATATTTCCTGTGGTCGCTTACTGGGCAGCTTACGAGAGCAGCTGTCACTCAGCACCTGGGAGAAATGCTGGTTTGTTACTAAATTCCATCCCCCAGAAAACAGGCTGGCCTAGGAGAATACCTACCACGTTGGGAATGTGCAGACCAAGAGTTTTAGTTCCCCTCTTCCCTTCAAATAGACACATGCTAGCACAAAGCCACATGCCCCTGCCTGGGGAGACGAACACGAGCTTGGGCGCAAGGCCAGTGCTTGGTGCTGAAAACAGAGTCTGGGTGGCTGCTCAGGAAGCCTGTGGTTGACTCAAGCCAGAAGCCAGGTCCCAGCCCAGTGCCTCAGCCTCCCAGTCCAACAGGCTCGGTTTCAACTTCACAGGAAACAGTGGTTTAGAGCCGTTTACAGCACCCCTCCCCACCCCACACCATGCCGCAGAGAACAGGGAGCTGCATCCAGTGCCTAGCTTGGAGTCAGGAAGCTCGGCGGGGCCCCAGGGCACCAAAGGGGGCTTCAGGCACCTGTGGGGCCTTGGCAGGCAGCGAGACAGCAGCGCACACAGGCCCAGAGCTAGGCATCATGATGGGGCTTCAATTACCAGGAACTTTCTGCTTCTTCCTGGGAGCTTCTTCAGAGTCCTCATCCTCCTCGTGCTCCAGTTTCCTCTTCTCTTTAGAGGGGGTTTCTCCAGGCTCTGGTTTTCTCTTCTCTTTAGAAAGGGTTTCTCCAGCTGGCGAGAGAGAATGAAGACAGGGTTGAAGACAGCACACCTTCCTGGTGCCGCCTGGGGTCCAGCTGCTGCCTCGGCTTCTCTTCTCCAGTGCTTCGCGAGGAGCTAGCCACCAGCACCCAACATCGACTCCCTACCCCTGCCCCCAAAGTCTCTGGCCAGGCCCAGGCTACTCCTGCCCCTGACTCCATGGCAGTTTACAACAGTCCATAGAAGCCTCTGCTCACCCTGGCATTTCCTGGCCGCTGATCCTGCCCACTGGCAGTTATGCTAACCCCAGTGCCTGCTTCACACTCCGCCTGCTGCACTCAGGCACCATGAAGACAGCGGCTGCCTTTTGTACACTGTAATGTGGAGCCTTCAATGCAGTCTAGTTCAAATGATCTGGGCAAAGCGCTGTCCTGAAACCCCTTAAACAGATCACTCCAGCCCACCACAAAGCAGGGTCAGCTACAGGGCCACCGATTCTAAAAACTGATCATCCATCCAGACCTGCCCAAAGCAGGTGACAATTTTCCTCACCAGCTTCTTCCGTAGAGGGGCTTCTTTCTCCCCAGTACCCAAGCTGTGCTACTGTGCCCACAGTCTGCACCTGCCCCTGAGAGCCAAGCCTGCTGGCCAGGCAAAACTCTGCAAGGAAGTGCCACTTTGCCCAGCACCCCAAAAGCCAGGTACCTTTCTTCTCAGAGGACTTGTTACCAGCTATTTTTATCCTTCTCATTTCCACCCAGCAAGTGGATCTGCGAACAGGCTCCTTGTCCCCTGGCTCCGAGTCCCCGTTCACTTGCCCCTTGGAAGAGGTGGAAGAAGAGTCACTGCAGGGCTCATCGTAGTTACTGTTTGACTCTAGAACGCTGGCTTCAAACTCCTCCAACTGCTTGGGCCTAGAAAAGAACAGAGCATCCTAGAGACACTGGCCAAAACAACTCCACACCCGTGGAACAGGCCCTCAGCAGAGAGCAGTGCTCTCATCTTCCCTAAGGCAGCCACGGCTCTGCCCGCCCTTTGCAGACAGGCATGAAGGGCAGTCACACAAGGGCAACAAGAAGAAATCCCGGGCGGTCTCAGCCTTTAAGCAACCCAATCAGGAGCAGGCTTCAGAGTTTGCTACAGCTCAAAGCTCTTCAGAGCACAACATTCAGCTGAGCCTGGTTCTCAGTGCAGACCACAAGGCTCTTTTCGGGTCTCCTAGTGCAGAATGGACATGCTTTCCATCCAGCACTAGGCTGATGTCCCTTCAAACCCCCAGGTCCAGATTCAGAACTGATTCACCAGCAACCCTGCTGGGCACTGCTGCCAGAGACCACTGAATGGCAGGGCTCTAGAGAGCATGTTATAACCAGAAGAAGGGCTCCCCCACATAACCAGCCAGCCTGATGGCTCAGCATGGCCACCAATGCCAAGAGGAGCATGAAGGGAAGACTTGCTGCTTGGCGGTTTAATCTAAAGAACGTCACTTAGAAACTATCAGAGGATCACAGAGTAGTCGAGCTGGAAGGGTCCTCTGGGGGCCACCTCTAGTCCAGCCCCTGCTCAAGGCAGGACCATCCGTGTCTAAACCAGGCCAGCCACGTATCTGTCTAACTGCTCTTGGCAGTTTCCAAGGGCAGAGATTCTGAGGCCTCTCTAGGCAGCCTGCCCCAGCGCTGAACCCCTATCACAGTCAGAGAATTCTCCCTCATCTCCAAACTAAATTTCCCCTGCTGCAGTTGGAGACATTGCTCCTGGCTCCATCTCCTACTGGCACAAGGAAGGACAGGCTGTCTTTAGAAAAATGAAAGCTTGCACCTCACAGAGTCGCACAAAGCAGTTCTGGTGTGGTCTGGTGAGTCCCTGTACCAGCTCAAATCTGACTCCAGGTAAGCCATGGAAAATGTTCGTGGCTTCAGAGATGAGGCCATCACTGAAAGGCCTGGACAGAACTCACTAGCAAGACTGCTTCAACTTTGCTCCTGGTTTTTAGCCCGACTATACAAGAAACGTTCACTTACTTTTTGTTTCCCAGCGTTCTCTTGCTCTTCTGTTGCCTGTGTGGCGTTGGTCTGCTCTTCTAGGAAAGCAGAGATGGAACAGGTCAGGGGAGCACCCTAAAGACTGGTTCTGTCTGACACACAGTTTTCTCCCCTCCACCCCTGGCAGTTCACAGAATAAACTGCACTTTGCTAATTGCCGTCTTATCACTTGGAAGGGAAAACATTGTCCTCTGCAATGAGGATGTGAAGCTGAGCCCTCTGCCCAGAAGGTCGTGGCAGGGAGCAGCCCTTGCCCCTTGAAGACCCCCACCCTCCTTGCAGTGGCACATGCACCAAGAATCACTCACGTTGCCCTGCTTCAAACACTTTTCTTCTAGTCTTGACAGCCATCTCCTGTTATCCCCATCAGAGTCCCTTGGATGCCCGCACCCCAATCCCTGCCCTCTCAATCTCCAGGTCTCTGGCTGTCTGTTCCTCCCCAAGTCACGCGTCCCTAGTATGAAATATAGGAGCTTTCCAGAAAACCTCCCTGGGCAGGCCAGGCGCTGCACATTCCCGAGGCAGGATCATGATCCCGATTGCTCATCCCATTGACACCATCCAGAGAATCACTTGTCACCATCCTCCCCACAGAGAACCATTTATTGCCATCTCTCTCATACTACCCAGATTGACATCAAATCCACAGGGCCTTCTCCCAGGTTCTGGGCCTGCAGACCCCAGTGGCCATCCTAAGCCAGCGAGACAGCTGCTCCCTTGAGGCAGTCCAATGCTGAAGATGAGGCTGGCACAGCGGTGCGAAATGCTGCGCCAAGCACCCCCCAAATCTAGCACCTAGAGAAGGGAGGGCAGGCCCAGGAGACAGAACTGCTACGGCCCAGGATGAGAGAAAAAGGTCTGCTGGGGACTAGAAACTAGCCAATAAAACACCAGGTGGGATAAAGGGTCTGACTTAATTGCAAAAGGTTAAAAGCAGGTGCCAGAAAGCACCTTTGCCAGGATGGGGCCTAGCTAGGGCATTATGTGGGAGACTGTGTCAGCCGAGAGATGGCAACCTTTGCAGGCAACAAGCATTTAGACAGCTCAGAGCTGGAGGAGATGCTAAGAAACTTCTGAGGACCCAACAACACTAAAGGGCAAATGCAAGGAAATACATGTTCACAAGGAATCCTCACTCGTAACATGGCACCAGCTTCTACACTGACCACAGAACTCAGGAGTTGAGGGCACATAGACCAGCATCAGTCAAAACAGCAAGCAAAATGAAGCCACATCTGGAGTCCTGTGTCCAGTTGTGGGCCCCCCACTACAAAAAGGATGTGGACACGTTGAAGAGAGTCCAGCAGAGGCCAACCAAGATGGTTGGCGAGCTGGGGGACATGACTTCTGAGGAGAGGCTGAGGGAACTGGGCTGATTTAGTTTGGAGAAGAGAAGACTACGGGGGATTTGATAGCAGCCTTCACCTCCCTGCAGGGGGGCTGCAAAGAGGATGGAGCTGGACTCCTCTCAGTGGGGGCAGATGACAGGACAAGGAGCAATGGGCTCAAGCTGCAATAAGGGAGGTTTAGGTTGGATATCAGGAAAAACTCTGTCACAAGGAGGGTGGTAAAGCACAGGAACAGGCTGCCCAGAGAAGTGATGGGATCTCTATCCTTGGAGGTGTTTAAGACCTGACTAGACAAAGCCCTTAAACGATGCCCTGGGATGATGTCGTTTGGGCTGGTCCTGCTTTGAGCAAGGGGTTGAACTAGATGTGACCTGCTGAGATCCCTTCTAGCCCTCCTTGTCCGTGATTCCATGAAAAGGAACAGAGCAATGAACAATTAGAAGGCCTTTCTCTATGCCTGTGGTCCCCCTCCTTGGGAATACACTGGTCTGTTCACCAGAAGGGCTGGAACGTTGTTATAGCCGCGAGGGTCCAGGAAACAGCAAGAAGCAGTGTTTCTTCTGGCAGTCTCTTATTGAAACAACAGTATAGTTGGGAGAGATGTTGGACAAACTGTCAGGCACCAAGCGCCCTTCTCCACCCAGGTCTGGGAAAGAAGCAGACAGTCTAAGATAAATACTGGCTAAAACAATGGCTTGTGTATAGCTCCACATATAAAGGAAGTCTACGTTTCTGCTCCTTTCCCAGGCCTAACAAAGAGCGCTTTGTGTCTGAAAGCATCTCCAACATCTCTCCCAATTGCACAGTTGGCTCAACAAAAGATATCACCACCAAAAAAAAGGAATCCTTGCTTCTTGCACGCTCTGTTCAGGTCATCCCATCTCCAGAGGAGACGGCCAAGACCAGCAGGGGTTCAGAGCTGGAAGACAGAAAGGAGCCTGGAGGAACTTCATTGTGAGCAGAGACTGACAACACCCAGGCTGTTTAGATCGGCGAAGCAGCAAGAGCAGCTCCCTGACGTGGCAGAAGACGCTGGCGCGAGGGCCCGCTCTCCTGAGCAACGTCAGTGGCACCCGGTCCAATTTTGGGGTTTTTTTTGAGGACCTAATTGTGACTGTCTTGTACAGAAACTGGCCAATACCTATTGGCTTGCGAGTCACAAGTCAGATCCACCGGATCCTTCTAGCCTTAATTTCCAGTGACAGCAGACACGAGATAGAGAACGGCCTAGGGCAGGGACGCTCCAGCTCCAGCCCCAGCCCAGCCTGGGGAGATCCGCACGGGTCTGGAAACCTGACAGCAGGGAGTGGCGACAATGCTGACGGCTGCCCCCCCCTGCCCCGCGGCCACCTTTCCAGACCAGGGGGACCCCCACGGGTCTCAGCGCGGTCCTGTGCACGAGCAGGATCCGGGCGTGCGGGGTTGGGCCGCATGCCGGATCACGCCCGTAGACCAGCTCCGCGAGGCTGGATCACACCCGCACACCAACCCCAGGCAGCCCACGAGACCAGCGGCTCGGTCTAGAGCAGGCCTCAAGCTGCAGCCCGCGCAGCCGCGGTACCTGGCTCACGGGGGTCCCCGCGGGCGGGCAGGGGACTGGGGTGGGGGCGCAGCGACAATTCACACGGACACCCCGCCCCGCTGCCAAGTGCCCAACCCCCGGGCAGGGGATCCACGGCCCCTTCCTCCCCTTGTCCCTGGACCGGGCCCGGGACCCCTGGCCAGTCCCGGCCCGCGCACGGCCCCCGCCCAGCAGCCAAAAAGGCCGAGCACGGCCGGCGCGATCGCAGACTTTACTCATAATAATCCTTTCCGTCGAGGCAAGGAGCGGCTGCTGGGCCCGCGGGACAGGGCGGCGAGGAGCCGGGAGCTCCCCCAAACGGACAGACACCTCGAGCATCCCGCTCACTTCAGGAAGGACGAGCAGCCCCCCAGAGG